ACATGTGGCTGGTCAAAGGTGATACTGCCAACCAATGATCCTAGAGTAGTGATGAGATAGTACAAAGTCATGAAGCAAACAGTTCTTGACACTCCTTGGCTGGACATGCAATGGCAAGTACCTTTTTCTCCCCAGTGATTCTAGCTTTGAAAGTCAGACCTTGTCAGACTAATGTCACGAATCAAATCGTGCGAGACCCTCAAAATTAAATCGACGTTCATGGCCTAGGCCTTTGGATCCCCACAGCAAATGTAACTCTAATGCCATACTGACAACAAGTCCTGGAAAATGTGTTTGTGACCAAAGGGGCGCTTTGGCTTGCCATGTCGCCAACCCCAAATTTGTTAATCGCCTCTCACCACCTCAGGAAAACTCTCACAAGGTGTCCAAGCTGCCAGGCAGCGAGTCAGCGAGCTAGCGTCCACCTTATGGCAGGTGGATTCATTGGCTTATTGTTTCACTGGTTGTGATTTTCTCAGATCGAGACGCGTGAATGACACCATGAACACCCCAGGTCAGTGTGACGCCCTGCGACTTTGTTCCTTGTACCTGACACAGTAGGGACCTAACCTAGGAAACAAAGAGAAAGCTCAATGAAGTCACCTTGAAGTTCGTCTTAAAGTGTGCATTGACAGCTTGCTCAATGTCAGGGTTGACCGGCCACACATAGAAGGAGCCACGAACAAGCCTCAAACCAACGGAATCGTGGAAACCAATCCAGTGGTGTTCGGTTGTATTCTCTAAGGGTTCCACAAGGTCTGAATGGAAACAGCATATCTTTGCAGTTGATGTGGAACCAGATCCATGTCGGGTTGCCCTGTCCAAGACCTAGCAAACATTTTCAAATTTAGATGCCTGCAGACAGAACAATGGTCTTCCACAATAAAAACACACCTGTGGCCCAAACCCCTTCAGTGCACTGTCCTTTGGCAGCTTATAGCCGTTTGACGGGTCCTCAGCCAACGTGCGAAGGATCCCTTCGTTCTTCCCGCGATTGGCCTGGCAGCAAACGCATGTCGAGCGAGGCCAATCAGGGTAAGAGATGAGTTCTTGGATTGGGAAGCTCGGAGCACACTCGCAAACATTGCACGCATGATGAACCACTGGAACATTGACGCTGCAAAAGAAAGGTCGCTGTCATCCGTTCATTCTATACATCGGCTCATTCAACCAAAATATGCATGCTGGTTTTAAATACGGCAGCGCATGTAATCCCAGCCTTCTGGACCTCATAGTATTTCTGTCCACCTTTCACTTCCTCCGAAGAAGAAATGGATGGCTGGGACTTGGCTACCACAGGGGAAAGTTGCAAGCTTCCAGAAGAGGTTGAAAGGAAGACAAACTTAAACCGAGTGTCTCGGATCGCTAGTTGGACACTAGAATCAGCAAGAGTTCATCAATGCAGCTTCTACAATAAGATTGACATCCCGAATGATGAGAACCCCATGCTACAGCGAGAACTCAACATACGTGGCCCACCCCGAGCGTGTTGAATTGATTTCAACCCCGAGCTTCTCCTTTGCCGGCTCTTCAATTTCTTCACATTCCTGCGCCGCCTTTTCTGCTTTCTTCTTTGGCTTTGGCTTAATGTCCTCCTTTACCTCCTTCGTCTCTGATGGTTGCTCGTCTGCCTTTGGCTTCCTGGATTTTTGTTTTGGAATCGCTTGGACCTCATCCTTCTTTGCCACCTCGAGCTTCGGGTCCTCAGTTTCAGCTGCACTTTCTGTTGCCTTCCTTCTCCTTTTTGTAGTTGTGTTTGGACCTTTGCCTGTCTCATTCTCTTTCTGTCGCTTGCCTTTGCTGGCAACCTGTTTCGTTGCCTTGCGACGCTTTGCATCTTGCTCATCCTCAGCGGCGTCTTCTTGCTCTCGCTCATTCTTCATCGCCCGCTCTGCATCATCTACCTCAGCCTCCATTGAGGCATCATCTCCTGGATGTTCTTCTCCCGCTTTCTCTGGCTCTTCTGCCTTCTCTTTGGCATCATTCTGCTTTTCCTTAGGCGGTCTACCTCTCTTCTTGGGCCCTGCAGCTGCTGCCTTTTCTTTTGCTGCTCTTTTGATTTCTGCACGTAATTTTCTTTGTTCTTCTAGAACCTCGTGCAACGCCACCTGGTTGTCATCATTTTCACGAGGGATGGCTTTGAGGCCAGGCACTTCGGAGAATAAAGGTTTCACGTCCTTGAAAGTCCCTTTGACTTTGTTCTCTTCAATTGCTTTTCGATTCATTGCATCATCTTCGCTATCCACCGATAGCTCCTCACCCATGATGTCCTGAAGAGTTGCCTTCACTTTCTTGGCGCCCTCATCTGCCAGTCCCACATCCTCCAAGAACTGGAGTGATTTCTGAAGCTGTCCCATCATGTGCATGGCCTGCTGCATGTGAAAGTCAACTTTCAATTCTGTGTCCTTTGCATCCACCTTCTTGTCGGCCCGGAGCTGTTCTTCTCTTGCTTCCTGCTTTGCCTTCTCCTCTGCCTCTTTGGCCTTCTGCTTCTCAGCTCTGAG